GTTCTCCTGGGAAATCTTACTACCGTTTCATTTTTCAGGCCTTCCTTCATTCTTGAAGCTGCCACAGAAACAGAAGCTAAAATGTCAGCTTTGAAACACCCAGAGTACCCCGAAGCAAAATTGCTTCAACTGGAAGGCATGATACCCTGTCGAGAAGCTCAAGCATCCACCTTATTGTCAATATTTGGAGAGGTGCCCCCTTTATATATATATATCTTTTTTCTGATAAGATGCTGGCTCTTGTTTTTTTGACTTTGAGGCATCATGTTTCGTGTTATAAAGGAAGGGTCGTTTTTAAGATGCTTTCAACTCCTCACCTCTGGCAGCGTATTATTTATTGGGGCGAGAAACATCAGTTTAAGCTTTTCACTTTCCAGGAAGCTCTTGTAAAATAAGGGTGATTGTTATGATTTATTTTTTTTTAGGATTGTTACGAGTATTTGGTGGGGTGCTGCCATACATCTCTTGTCTAGCTCTTTACGGGAACTGCTGTTGTGTCTTTACACGAGATTTCGTTTTTCTGCTCCCATCAAAAGAAGTAACAACAAATGGGCTTGTTACTTGGAATTGAAATTGAAGATGTATTATTTAAAACAATTACATATGAGTGAGGCACATGCTGAGGTCTCTTCCTGTTTGCTCACAGCAATGGGGCAGGAAATGAGAATAAGCAGAGACAATGCAGTCCCAGAGGTGTTTTTCAAAAGGCAACTGGACTTTCTTGAGTTTTTTTGCCCTAATGTTTCATTTTCCATCCAAGAAGCCTGTTGGATGGGAAGGGAAATGTTAGGGGAAAAAATCAAGGAAGTCCAGTTGCCTTTGGAAAAGCACCTTGAGATAACCTTGACCTGGATGACTGACTGAGAATCTCCATAGAGAGATTTCAAAAGGTGCATTTGAAGATGACACCTTGAAGATGAGGCTTGGGAAGATCCACTTGCCTGCCAACTTTTAACTATTTGTGATGTTAACTTTTAAGATTCCTTTTTTTCTTTCCTTCTCAAGGCCCTTTTTTTTGCCTCATTCAGTTTTGTTTTCACTTTTTCTCTCTGTCTGTCTGTCTGTCTCTGTCTATCTATCTGTGTCTGTGTGTCTCTCTTTATCGGTATGTCTGTCTTTCTGTCTCTGTTTCTCTGTATGTCTTTGTCTGTCTGTGTCTCTTTCTTTCTGCCACTGTCTCATTCTCACTTTGCTGTTTCTGTCAAAGGACATAGGCACGCAAGTCGAAATTTGCCTTTTTCTGTATGTGAGAGTACTTCATGTCTATTTGGTGAGAAAGAGCAATTGGAGAATCCATTTTATACAGAAGGAATTAGAATCAATAAATTAGTAGTTTTTTCCCGGACCTTGCCTTAATTTGACCATGTGGATAGTGTATTGTTTTTGGAGGTAGCTTAAGCAAGATCAATCATTGTTCAGCTAATGCAGGGGTAGGCAACCTTGGCTCTTCTATGACTCGTGGACTTCAACTCCCAGAATTCCTGAGCCAACATGGAGGAATTATGGCCCCCTCATGGCTTGTGGACTTCAACTCCCAGAATTCCTGAGCCAGCATTGGGCAACTATGGATCCTTCATGACTTGTGGACTTCAACTCCCAGAATTCCTGAGCCAGCATTGGGGAACTATGGATCCTTCATGACTCGTGGACTTCAACTCCCAGAATTCCTGAGCCAGCATTGGGGAACTATGGATCCTTCATGACTCGTGGACTTCAACTCCCAGAATTCCTGAGCCAGCATGGCTCAGCTTGGAAACCTCTCCCTTTCCCCTCAGCATGGCTGGCTCAAGAATTCTGGGAGTTGAAGTCCACCAGTCATAAAAGAGCCAAGATTGCCTATCTCTGAGCTAACGTAAAAAAAAAATGAGTCAAAGTCCTCAAAACCATTTAAACAAAGGACAGGGTATGCTTAAAGTAAAAAAAAAAACCCTCCTAAATACGTATGTGTATATTATTTCCTAGCGCCAACACTTTAGCTTTCCAGCCCTTTTCATATATGGACACACATCCAGTGGAAAGACATATGTGGTGCAGACCCTTCTAAAAATCTTGGAGGTAAGAATGATCTACTTTATCAGTTTTCTCTTTTTAAAAAAAAGGATTTTGAAAAAAAATGTTATTTTTTGTGGCTTCCTTTAAGCAGGGATTCACATTTGATATAGAGAAACATCTTAACATTCATTACGTTAAGTGGGGTTGTCCAGAAACATTTTGGCAGGGTGTAGCCAAAGCATAAAAATAATCCAGAAAACCAAGGTTCTATTTATTTCTATTTGGGTGAAGGTGAGTAGGGCCAATGGGCAGCAAATTAACAATTTTCTGCAGCTGCTTTTAGCCTAGTGTCGGTAATTGTGAATTACGACCCATCTATGCTCAAAATGTATACTTTCTTATCCTTATAAAGAAAGGAAGAGTTGTATTTAGAAAAAGGGTAAGCCAAATAAATAGTGTTTATTGTTTACTTTTTTACCAGTAGACTCATCAAGTTTCTGACTTTTGTCATATCCTACCTAGTCTGAATTCCCACCGTTGGTCTTCTCAGATGCATTGATGATATATATATCAATCTAAAATAAGACTAGCGGAGTAAAATCCACAGAGACTCCTTTACCTTTTTTTTTTACTTTATGTAAAGTAAAATACCTTTTACTATATATTGATTGATAGATATCTATCCCAATCAGTAAGTTCTTAGCAATGAAATGCATTTAAAAGCGGGGTAGTGAGCTGTACTCAAAAGTAAGGCTTGTAAATTTGAATGGGACTTACTTTATATAAGCTGAGAATTTTAGGTTGCAAAATACACTCCCCAAAATGGCAGACCAGAGCTTAGATTTTTTTTAAAACAAAACCTGTCACAGCCTTAAAATTGCATGGTCTTATAAATGATAAGGTAACAATTTGCAGTTCCCCAGCTGTCACTGTGGTTTAAAATTCAGATGTCAGCTTAATTATACATGACACATTTTTCCTGGTATTTCTATTGTAATTTCTAGAGTTGGCTTCTACACCTATGGACCTACAATATTCATGATTATATATGGTGTTCTCGGGATGGCATTACCATGCAGCCTTCACTTCTGATTCTAGTTATTTAGTGATTTTTACGAATCAACTGTAATTAGTGAGTTAGCATATCTTTGAGTCTTAGACAGTTGCTTTCTTATTGTTTTGTTACTTTGTAAACAGTCCCAAGTTAGGTTTGCCGTGGAGAGCCTTGTAATAATAAAACAGAAGGAAACCTGTATTTTGTTCTCTTTCTTTTCAGCTTCCTCATGTGTTTGTGAATTGTGCCGAATGTTTTACTTCCAGATTACTTCTGGAAGAAATATTGAGACAGTTGCAATGCCTCTTAATCGAAGAAGGAAATCCTTCGTTTGCATCCTGCGACACATTCAACGATTTCGTGCGTTTATTTAAAAAGGTGGCCTTGACGCCTGATCTGCAGAATCAGACCATATATGTTGTAAGTATCTATTTTATACTGTGATATACTCAGCTATACCAAGATCATGGCATCCGGCCCTCTCCATTCCTGGCAAATAGATGGGGAAGAAATGGAGGTAGTGACAGATTTTATCTTCCTGGGCTCCAAGACCACCACAGATGGGGACTGCAGCCAAGAAATTAGAAGACGCTTGCTCCTGGGGAGGAAAGCTATGGCAAATCTAGACAGCATACCAAAAAGCAGAGACGTCACCCTGCCAAAAAAAGTGTGTATAGTATGGTTTTCCCAGTGGCAATGTATGGATGTGAAAGTTGGACCATCAGAAAGGCTGAGCGCCAAAGAATGGAGGCCTTTGAACTCTGGTGCTGGAGAAGACTCCTGCGAGTCCCCTGGACTGCAAGGCGATCCAACCGGTCAGTCCTAGAGGAGATCAACCCTGACTGCTTTAGAAGGCCAGATCCTGAAGTTGAAACTCAAGGACTTTGGCCACCTAATGAGAAGGAAGGACTCCCTGGAGAAGAGCCTGATCCTGGGAAAGATGGAGGGCAAGAGAAGAAGGAGACGACGGAGAAGGAGGTGGCTGGATGGAGTCACTGAAGCAGGAGGCGAGAGCTTCAATGGACTCCAGAAGATGGCAGAGGACAGGAAGGCCTGGAGGAACGTTGTCCATGGGGTCGCGATGGGTCGGACACGACTTCGCAACGAACAACAATAATACTCAGATAAAAATATATGATTTTTTTGCACCGGAAGTATGCATACTGTTATTGCCTTGCAATTGGATCAGCTCGATGGTTTTGTTACATAGTTAGTTAACAGCAGAGAGAGAATATTGCTGCCCTACAGGGAGTCCCATGCTGCTGATAAAATGTAATTAGCTCTAACGTGAAAAGTAAAAACACAGCTTACCTGAAATGCACATTTCCTTTTTCTTACCCATGGAGCCCTGTAATTCTGAGGG